GATTTTACTACACTACGATTTTTTTTTTTTTGGGGTGAATCATATCCATCAATATCAAACAACAAATTTCCAACGCCGTGGTGTTCATAGCAAGAAATTATTATATCTCTTAAAGCTTCGGCCCAAGGTTTTTTTCTTTTTTCTTTGTCACTCCTACTGTCTGATTTAACATTCAAAAATGGAATGTTTACTGGCCACCATTTTGGCTTATATAAAATATTCCCCCAGTTGACGCTAGATCTATTACAACTGATTTTTATTATTTCCGGTATGAAACTTCTCATTGTCACCTAAATTAATAATTGTAAATCTTTGTATATTATTGGTGCGGTTCAAAAGGAATAAAAAAAATGTGTACATTGAAAACCATCCCTAAAAATTTGTATTATGTATGATTCCATACCTTTCATTGTCGTTAAAAATTATCTTAGATCAGCGGTTCCCAAATTTAGGTACGGGGATTACTACAGATCTTCAAAAAAATGTATTGGTTCGGGATGAATTTTGCAAAATTTAATATTGAACTATTAATAAGAAGGTAAAAAGTAATGTAGCGATAATATTTTTGTAGTGTTTCTTAGAAGTATTAATTAAATGTGAAATAACCGTTCCGTGGTAAAAATTTAAGAGACCTTTCTTAGATTACAAAAATAAATGTTTTACCACAGGTACTGTTCTAATATGGACGGCAAATCCATTTAGATATAGTGGTGTCAATTTTTTAATTGGTAGGATTTCGGGTTTAGGGGTTTCATCTATTAACATGTTTGCTAATTGTTCCATGTTTCGTTCCATATCACATTGAATCATTGATTTGTATTTAAACACCTAAAAGTATTATAATATTAATTAAATATAACTATAATTGGTGTTTTATTAGCGTTCTACGTAATCTGGCTCATGGATTTTAAAAAGACCGGATACATCAAAATAATGGGACTTCATACAATGCGTAATGTAAAACTTCATATGAAAATTATAACGAGAAATAATGAATGATTGACAAACGCCTGATGTCTTAAATATTACTCTCATTTAATTGAATCTCTGCTTTCTCTAGTCTATTTCCAGAAATATTAACAGAAAAAAATTAAATACATTTGTTGATAGTTGATACATCACCCAAATCAAAAAAATTTAAAGTTACTTGCAAATGATGGAAAAATCTGAGAATTAGAGCTAGATAAAATAATCACGAATTCGTGTATGACCATTGGGTCATTGATCATTTAGTCTAACGCAGTGGTTCCCGATTAAAATAGTGTACACACCCTCATTTCAAAATATATATTTTTTTGGACCCCAAAGGAAATAAGAAATATAAAACATTTATGAAAATATTGAACGTTTTTTTCAAAAAAATATCGGTAAAAGTCAATCTTTCCCTGAGGGTTTAATATGGTATTTTTTATGGTTATTGACAACCAACCATTTCTGTTTCATAAACTATACATTTTCTATTAATAAATTTACGGTTGATAAGAGTGGTTCAGATCCAATTATTTTTGTTGCATGTAAATTAGACATTTCTGATTCTGTGTGAATAATACAAACTATTTGTGTGCCTGTCAAGTTACTTACATCTTTTATCAATTCTTTTAAAACACTAAATACTACATGTATATAGTTTTGACTTGTTTAAATTAGGGATTCTTAACCTTTTGTCACGCGCGACCCCATTTTAATAATATAAAAATTTCGGAACCTCGCATCACAATTTCTTAATAGGATTTACGAAGAAATATTAATTACTATAATACAAATTTATTCATAAGATATTTAATGTTTTCTTAGTAGTTCAAATCTCTGCTTATAATATGAGATAGAGTATCTATTAAATACTCTAATAAGTGGCGGATCGATGATTTTCAGCCAGGGGCTAGATATTATGAGGGGCCAAACAGATATAATATAAATTTATTTGTTTATTTTAAATTATTCTAATTTTTTAAACGGCCACATTTTCCCCATATGAAATTATTATCGATTCGCAGACAATTTTTTTCAACTATTACGAAAAAATTTATCATTTTAAAAATCACAATAAAGCAACTTTTAAGTTGTATTTGAAAGTTTTATATTGTAATTTTTTATAGGGTTGCTGAAAATTTTGATCTCCTTAGATGGGAAAAATTAAAATTAAACTATTTGTAAAACTGTAAATTACTTTAAACCATGTCTTTGACGTTGCTTTCTTACAACAGGATCCATAATGAAATATTTTTTATTCGATGGAGTAGTAACATTAATAGCAGCAGCACTAATGCCTTTCATACCTAAGTTTAATTTTAATAATAGAGATTTTAAGATTTATCAACAGTTTTTGGGGGTAATTATCAAAAATTCAAGCATAATTACAACCCAAAATAAATGAGTTAACACTGAATTTAAAAAAGTGGTAAACCCATCAATGGAAACAGACATACAATACCATATTGAATATCATAAATATTTTGTGTTAAATTTAAAATTTCAAGTCAAGAGCCTCATAGAGGTGGGTAGGGATATATGACCCTATGAATCGTTAGTGAAAAATTTTAGGGGCCTATTTCTCATTTTTGGTGGCATCGAGCTGGTAAGTTCGGCTCTGTCTAGGAATATTAATTATTGCATATTTTTGTTTTAATAAATCAATAATGTCGGATATTAAATCCCACCAGAGATGAGGAAAGTGCAGCTTTATGAACAATTTGAAAGTTTTTATATTCATGTCAATTTGATGATATTTATATTATTTGTTAATTATAGATAAACATGATCACAAAATAATCAATTAGTGATACATTTGGACTACAAAATAGTTGTATGAATTACATTTAAAATGTATTTATTTTCCATTGTTTAAGCAAATTTTAGAAGGTGCGGCTTTCTAAAGACTCAGCTCTCAAGCTAAAGACTTCAGCACCTCAGCTGAATCATGACAGAAACGGCACATATCATAAAAATTACCGATATTCAAGAGTCTTGATATTCTAATATCTTTCTGATTTCGACGAAGTCTGCTATAAATTGCATCTATCGATACACAAGTCGATTCACTCGTATCAATTTTATTTAGTAAAGTATAATTCCTACTAAGATTCTTAACATCCTCCATTTATTTCACTTATGATATTTAAAGATATAGATTATTAAATATTGTGATTTAAAAATTTAAAAATAGTTCGACACTATAGCTACTGAAAAGTTTACCTTAAGTATTAAAAGCGTGTAGTATACGCCGTATGTATGTAAAAATTCCGAAGGAATGAATTATATAGATTTTCACCCATATGTCTTTATTGGAAATATGTAGACGTTCACTGCATATTTTTTTTGAAATTGTAGAATCAATATTTACATTTTCAATTTTTGATTTTAATTAAAATATTTGAAAAATATCGGTGGATAATATATTAAAATTTATTTTTCACCGGGAATGCGTAGATTTCTGGGGTTGAAATTTTGTACTTATATCAACTGGAATAAGCTCTATCAGAATTTTTTTTTTTAATTTTCGGAACGTTAATTATTTCACATTTTTTGTTTTAATAAAATATTTCGGAAAAAAATATATGACTAATAAAATGCTTTTTTGACCATAAAGTCGTCACTTATTCGGATTGAAATTTTCTGTATGTGTTAACAGGATACAACTGTAAAATTTGTAAATTTTTTGAAACTAACTGTTTTCATTAAAAAAAGAAGGGTAATTTGTGGTTTTGGCTTTGAAAATATAATTTTTTTAAATTTAAATTTATGATAATGTTTATGATTTTAAAATCCGCATCAGTGTATTTTTTTAAATTTAAATTTATGATAATGTTTATGATTTTAAAATCCGCATCAGCATTTAAAATTATGATAATGTTCATGATTTTAAAATCCGTATCAGCGTATATATTTTTTTAAATTCTCCAACTCGTTTGGTTTTCAAAAAGAGGGACCACTGGGGTTTTTGACCCGTAACATGTAAAATTGGGAGGTTGAAATTTATCTTAATATACGTCCCGAAAAAAACTGTAATTGAAATGTAGTCTTTAAAAAATTAAAAAAATTCTAAGACGGGTAGTTATTTAAATAAAGCTTAACACACAAACAAAAATCGCGTAGCATATTATATATGTTAGGATTTTTTCTTAAATCTGCTATTTATGACAATTTTTACATATAATAATATAAATTTCAATTTCCAAAACTCACACCTTTATGACAATTTTTAGTATTGGACTAATTTTATTTTTTTGGAATTTATGCTATTTATGACAATTTTTAGGATTGGACTGTTTTTACTTTATTTTTAATATTATACACACATTCTGTCTAATAAATTAAAAAAATGGGATAAAAATTGTTTTTAAAATTTTTTACGCAAATGTTAACAAACAAAAAATTAAAATGGAATAATTCAGTTTAAAGTAAAAAGTAATGTGATATAATGGTTCCACCTGAAACAAATTTGGAAACCACTCCTTTAAAGGATTGATAATAGTGAATAGTAGAATTTTTAAGTTAGGTTGTCAACATGAATATATTTTTTTGGTATAATAAAAATGTACCCTCAGCAGAGTTAGGTGCTGTTTGTACGTAGTACATAACAGTCAACCTAGTATTTTAATATTAAGATATATATTAGTATTATTATTTGATAAGATTCTACTTCAGGTCTCCTTCCATCATCAAGGCTGATAAATATTACTTTAATTAATAAACACAAATTGAAAAATTTAACATTTTCCTTGTTTTTACATTCTAGTTTCATAAACGTATTGTTAATCGCTGTTTTATAAGTACATATAGCTGTATTGATGAATTTGATAATGGAATAAATTAACCAAATTTTATAAGATCATGAAAATTGCTTACAAAAATAAATTAAAATTATACTCAAGAGTGCTCAAGAATCTTGCTGTGTATAAACAAATATTAAATGTAAATTATTATACGACATGACAGTTGAAATTTAAATTACAGCTATAAATAGCATACAAGATTCGATATATTACAATTATTACTTTTAAATTGGTTTAATTTAATTATTCAATTTCTTAAATATGAAATGTAAGCTTTCTTTTTTATAAAATAACTGATTTAGACGTCAATGCATCCAGAAAAATGTCCATCAAACCAGAACTCGTTATGGAGATTTTATATAATGACATTTATCCAACTTCAGTGGAATGGGTTTTTGTATTTCTGTATATAGTTACATTTCTTCTCGGAACAATCGGAAACTTACTGGTTGTTATTTCTTACGCAAAGTTTGATAAATTGAGAAACACTGTTTATACTCTTATTCTAAATTTGGCAATATCTGATTTAATTGTGATATTCACTTGTATGCCGACGACAATACTTGGAGATATTACTGAAACGTGGTTTTTGGGAAAAGATATGTGCAAAATTTTTGGGTTCATACAGGTTGAAAATATATTTTTTTGTAAATTATTCATTTAGGGTATATCTGTGTCAGTTTCAATATTTACTTTGGTGTGTATATCGGTTGAACGTTATTTTGGAATTTGTCGATCTACTAAAAGTGCAAAAACTCATCTCAATTCATGTTATAAATCACTTGCGTTTGTTTGGTTATTGGCTATTATTGTCAATTCTCCAAATTTATTTATACTTAGTACAAAATCACCGTTTGAAGATTTTACAATATTATTTACTACTTGTTATGAAACTTGGTCTCCCAAAAAACAACTTATCTATCAATCTATACTTATGGTCATTATTTTTGTTGTACCATTTTTCTGCATGTTATTTTTTTATATTCAAATTTCACTCAAAATGAAATCATCACTAAATGAACGAAATAAGACGTTATATGCCAACAATTATACACATGCAAGTAATTAGATATTGATTATTGATACATTAATAATTTTATTTCAATCACCAATATTTTTAATGCATACATTTAAAATGCATTAATTTTTCGTACATTATATGGCAATTATTATAATTTGTTGCTGATTTGATTTTTGATAATATATACATGTATAATGTATAATATGTGTAATGTATAATAGTATCAAAATAATAACAGTTTTATTATTGATTGCAATTGGTAATTACATGCTTAAGTAGTCAAATTTACTATATATAATAGTATTGAATATGGCTTATTTGTAAGAATGTATCATAAATTATAATACAACTAGGTTGACTGTTATGTACTACGTACAAACAACACCTAGCTCTGCCGAAGACACATTTTTATTCTACCAAAAAAAATAAATTCACGTTGAAAATCGAACTTAAAAATCATATTATTCAATATTATCAGTCTTTTAAAGGAGTGGTCCCAAACTTGTTTTAGGTGGAACCGTCATATCACATTACTTTTTACTTTAAACTGAATTATTTTATTTTAATTTTTTATAAATATTGCGTAAATAATTTTATAAACAATTATTATCCCATTTTTTTAATTTATTAGACAGAATGTGTGTATAATATTAAAAATAAAGTTAAAACTTTTTAATTTTATTAGACAGAATGTGTGTATAATATTAAAAATAAAGTAAAAACAGTCCAATTTTATTAGACAAAATGTGTGTATAATATTAAAAGTAAAGTAAAAACGTCCAATCCTAAAAATTGTCATAAATAGCATAAATTCCAGAAAAAATAAAATTAAAGAAATAATTTATTAGACAGAATGAGTTGTATAATCTTAACAATAAAGTAAAAACACTCATTAAAAATTTTGTCAAAATAGCATAAATTCCAGAAAAAATAAAATTATAAAAACCTATTTTGTCATTTTCAATGTAATGATATTTATTCAGTACCAATTTAATAAATACTTAAAAATACCAATTATGTATCAATAATTAACGGAATCTTTACTTTATAAACATATTTCAGCTGAATTTTACCAATATTGCAAAGTATAATTATAATATAATTATATAAGTAAGGATAATTATTATTTTAGTAAGATTTATAATAAAACTAAAATTTGGTATGACTGGATTTTTATTTTAGGATTGGTAAATTTTGATTTTTAGTAAAAATGGTTGAATTTTTGAAATTAAGCATTTGAAATTTTAGTAAAAATTTTATTACCAGCAAAATTTTGAGAAAGAACCTTTTAATCCAACCCAAAATAAAGAATCCAGTTTCACGAACCCTTAGGCTTAAATTAAGGTAACATTTCAATTTGTACATTTTTAAAAATATTTCGATTTTACCAAACATTACGAGAAAAAACTCTCAATCCAACCACAAAATAAAAAACCAAAATTTAGTAACCATGAAGGAAAAATCCCATTTTCCGAGTACTTAGTTCTAAACATTAAAAATTTAAGACTCACCAGCGTCATTGTATTCAGGTTACATTTTACAAATTAGTAATTTATAAATTTAAAAAAATTTGATGATATCAGCAAATCGACCCCCTTAGTTATCTGTTATCCGTATTTTTAACATTGCACATGTGTATATGAAAATTTAGAAACGAAAAACAACTCGAGTAGAAGAAACAAATCTCGAAAACGAGTAGCTCACATGTTGGTTGTGATAAACATCTTATTTTTTGTTTTGTGTCTACCTGTTTATTTACTCAATATCGCCAGATATTCAAAGATATTGAACGAAACATCTGAATTAGTAGTCTATATGGCTTTAACCGCTCACTGGTTTGTCGGATTAAATAGTGCAATAAATCCAATTATTTACTGTTTAATGAGTGGTAAATTAATTATAATTTTAATGGTTTTTAACTGAGAATATAAACTCCCAGTAACTATGAATATTATGAATAATATTATTCATCATATACAGAGCCGTTTTAAGGCATGGGCAATATGGGCTTAGCCCAGGGCCACTCATTAAAAAAGGCCCCCAAATTAATAAAAGTACTTTACACTTATATCTTAAAAAGAGGCCCCCAATTTATTAAAAAATACTTCACATTTATATTTTAAGAAACAGTCTATAAGTTTTGAAGTGTGGGAATTCAAATAGCTAGAAAGAAAATAGTTTAAAGATTCAAAGTTCTGATAAATATTAAATTTAAAATATATTATACAATGTTCATCATATAATATTGACATAAAAACTGTTTCAAATAATAATATTAAACATTAAAACCTTTCTATTAAGTGAATATTCAAAAAACAAAGTAGGAAATCTTTGATTTTCTTTTATTAATTTTCAAAAAAGGGGCCCTAAAATTTTTTTATCGCTTCGCTTGAAATACTTTTTTGCTTCGCTCAAAATTTTAAAGGGCCTCCGGTCTTTTGCTTAGCCCAAAGCCACGAAGTGGCTTAAGACGGCTCTGATAATATATATATTATTTATAATTATAATCATATAAAAGTTTAATCATTATTTCCGATATTTATCATTGTATTTAATCGTCTAAAACAGGATCCACACTTTTTTCAGGTAGGACTGGTAATAAATTATAAAATTTATTTCGGACTATTAAATCCAAATTATTAAGCAACCTTATAAAAAATTGGATAAAAAACGTAATGAGTTGACTTTAATTTGTAAAAATAATTTCTCCGACAGGCATTTAGGAATCACTGCAGTGATAAAATATATTATATAGAATAAATAATATAGAATAGTATAAAATATTATCAACGGTAAAAATATATTAAATCAGTGATGCAGCATTACTGATGCTCTATAACCGGCTTCTGAACTCATTTTGTCTACCACTCTCTTTTTAGCAATATATTTTTCAATGACCGCTTTAAAAAATTTTCAAATGAATATCAAAAAAATGGTCAAAATTCAATCTTTTTACAAAAATTTCGTCCATGTCTCCACGAAAAGGGTCTCAGTGTATTAGGTTTGACACTGCTTAGTACCACAACTTGGACATTAACTAAACAGTAACGTTTTAATTAATAATTTAGCCAAATTTCGTAGTGCATTTGGAAGTATTTGTCACATAAATGTCTTAATACCAAATTCAAATACAATATTAAAGAAGCTAAGTACTACATCCACCATGCATAGAAATAATCTCATTTAAAATTGAATTATATAAATACTTGCACTCGGTATGCTATGTATGTAATTAATTGTAAATAAAATATATGTATAATAAAATGTTCCAGGCACTTTGTTCATTGTTTAATTGGATAGAAATATAAAATTTACTTCAAGGTTATATTCTGCATTCCTGTAATCCAGTAGTAGTCAGAGTTGCCAGAAAGTGCGTAATTCGCGCATTTCCATTAGTAATGTTACATTACTAATATACATTTGAACGCAGTTTACAACTTTAAATATCAACGCACTTCTTATAAATTTAATTTATTCCACGCATATATATTTTTATGAACCATACAATTTTATAGCTCAATTATTTTTAAAATAAAAAGTTTAGTTTTTTGTTGTAATATCATTCACTCGTTCACAATTGTTTTATAATCATATTTTTATAATGAGAACTTCAGAATTAAATATATGGATTGAATTAGATGGATTTATTATTATTTCTCCAGTTCTCTATGATTTAACCAGTAAAAGGGATAGAGAAAGTCTACCCAATTCTATTTTCTCTGATAGTACAATGAATTCCACACTTAATTCTACAATCAATACTGGTTCAAATGCAAATGAAATAAAATTAGCTATATTTACCGCTTGCCATATGTCTCTTAGATCAGTCGACCATTTGACAAGCTTATTTAATTCCATATCTCTTACAAGCTGTATACGAATGTGTCGAACAAAATTTTGTAAAATTATATCACTAAAAAACTCAATAAATTTTAAAATATTCTGTGTCCATCTATTTTATGTTTGCATTTCAACAGTTGAAATGAACCGAATACTTGTTATTTTTATCAAATAACAACGGAAAACTGGGTTTTTGGCACTGAAGGACTCAATTTCAAATTATAATTTTATAATTTTAATTTTTATTATGATTTGATTTGATTATGATTATCAGAGGTGGGAACTGATTGATAAAAACCGGTTTTTAAAGCGGTTTTAGCGGTTTTCAGTTAATCGTTTCAATCAACCAATCACCGTTCAAATTGAAAAACGGTTTTTTGCGGTTTTCGATTCGGTTTTTATAAAATATAAATTTTATGATATTTTTCTATTATCGATACATTGCTCTTTTGAATTTGTAAATACATTTGTAATTATTCATATTTAAAAAATTGAAATGGTGTTATTCGACAAATTTGAAAAAGATTGTGAAAAAGAGTTTATCAAGAAATACTTTGAAATTGATAAAATTAAGAAAATACGATAATGTAAAATGAAAGTTCCAAATTGTCTAGATATCTGTAACATTAAAATCTCAACACTACACCTCAACAATGCTAGGGTTCATTTAAAATCTAATTTACATAATAAACAATTTAAAAAAGACCTTATGGAATATATTAAAATAAAAAAATTGAGTATTGTCACTTTAGATCAATCTTTCAAAAAAAATGTTCCCTTCTATGTGTGAGCAGTCAAGGCTAAAATCGAAAATTATTATTACCATTTCTGAACATGATGTTGTACAGTCTCTTATATCAATTTTTG